ACAAGCGTGTGGAGCATTAAATAAGATTTTTCGCCAGAAATAATAGCCGAGAACAAGTATGTGGCGTGTAATAGGTTTATATGTATCATTGGGTCAAATATGTGATTATCTTCGTCGATGGTGTCTGTTGCATGACGCCCGTTTTTCATCAGAAACTAACTGTAGACCTCTTACGGCACATCAAAAAACCTATAGTTATATGCTTACGGTTGTTAAAGTACTATTATTTTTTAAGGAATCGACGGACAATGAAAAATTCTTAATGAATTATGGAATTTTATTTATAACGCCAAAGTGCGAACACGGAAGCGTGAGTTATAACTGTAGTTCATTTTCTGCTTAATGAAATGTATTATTTGAAAAATAACTACATATTAGGTTTTAAAACAGTGCTTGGATTCTACAACTTGTTTATTTGTGTAAACATACATAAGCATAATTAACTCAAAAAAATGAATACTAGGTGGAAGAGTTTATTTTTACCTACCTGCACATCTTTATAATTAAAATTGCATTAGTATGATTATTATAAAACGAAGTAAACTCAATAAAAATCATAAAATCGCCTTTCTTGCAGCGATTTTAAATCGTAGGTAATAATCAAACGCCTAGTGTTTAACACTACCATTAAACAACCTTTTTTTATCATTTGCGAGTCTTGTTCAAATTAATATGAGAATTTTCAATCTTATCTCGTGAAGTTACCACTATCTAAACAGCTAATATGGCTTTTATGACTTGTTCAAATATTTATTCACTGCGTTTAATAGTCGTAAATGGAAACGATTAGCCTTTTTTCAAAATGGAAGGCAACCGGGTAGTTAAATAGAGGCAATTGCGACAAATTTCATTTCAACTTTAATGAATATTACTTTGGGGAAAGTGACGCAAAACTAATTCAAATTTATACTCGTAGGGCCCCTTTGAAGTAAATATTTTTTGAAGAAAACAGTTATAAAATTATGAAGAGACTATATTATCGATTTTTTATTAATTTTATTATTAGAGTCAATAAGTATTTTGTATATTTTAAAATCAGTTGGTTTAATCATCTTTTAAGCTTGCTCCGTTTTATCCCATTTCATCTATCAATAATTCATGTACCCTAGTGAATAGAAATTATAATGACTTCCTTTATTTTCAATAATCGTATAATTCTCCGCGAAAGTGAGAAAAACCTGACGCCGTTAACGTAATAAACCAGTATAGAGTCTCATAGAAAATATGAATTTTATTAATGATTGACTTTACGAATTTTAGTGGACTCTTAATCTCAACGAATTATTTATAATGATATTTAAATATTGCAATTATGTGAGTAGCGGAAGTTCGAAGAGACGCAATCAACATGAAATTATACATTTAACACTGAAGGTGACACTAAGAAAAGTAGAAGCAAAAGACTTGCCAAATGCCTCTACAGATCCAAAGCAATAGTTGAAGACGTGAAGGTTGAACGACGGAGAGAATTGTTATTAATTAAAGTGACATCTAAATGTATTCAGAATGAGAAAAGTTTAATCTCGTTTTGAAATGTGAGACGCAGATTTATCCAGGAGTTAACTGAACACCATTTTTTACGCGAGCCGTACATTTTTCGTTAGTTATTCAGGGCGCGTTTTGACCGAGCACATTTTCGTTTAACAATCGGGTCAGTTGTTATGAGCTGACAGTCGGCATATAAAGTTTACTATCCATTATTCCGATTCACAGAATCGGCCGTTGGTGCTTGCTCGCAAAAGGAGATACTGCTCGCAATTGTGTAACTAATCAATAGCAAAAAATAGCCACGGTTATCAATCTTTTTTTGCTGATTGCGAAAAACCCGTTAAAAGCGACAAGGTTGAAAATCCCGATGCGGAACAGACACCGATTGATAATAATTAATATCACGTATCTGGATATTTTTCGAATTTGGCAATTTTTAACTCGCCTTAATGTTTACTTCACTTCAACTGGACTGATAACAGTAAATTTCACGATGTAATTCGATGTTGCGGGGAAATTCCGAAAACCAACTCAGTTACCATCGATCAGGTTAATTCGAAAATAACTAAGGAGGAATTCAGGAAGCATACACTAAAATTAGAGGCAAGTTCAAGAATTTGTAATTCAGTTTTTTCGTATCGAGCAAAAGGTGCATCTCATACCGAATGTGAGTAGATATTTGCATTATAGGTACCTACTCGATAAATAAAACGAAAAACCTGATTGATAAGTGGCAGTTGTTGGTTTTTTCGAACGAATTACTTAAGGTAAGCATTAAAAATATAACTTAATTAAAGGAACTTACTAATAAATTGATATAGTTACTAATATAAAAACCAACAATAAATTACTGCTTCTTATACTATACACGATTCATGTATTTAAACATGAAAATTCCGATGAGATCGTTATAAAGTATATCATCACCTGTACCAGACGTTTACCTATATCGCAAAAGTCGTATATTCTGGCTTACAAGTTAATATTTCTTAAAGACCTGATACAGAATTCTCAAATCTAAACCAACTCGTTTTCGTATTTTAAGTGTTTCCTTCATCATAAATTCTAGAATATTGCTAAATGAACAAACGCAATGTTGCCTCAAGAAGGGCACGAGATCATGTCATAAAACACTTGTATGTTAAAGAAATTTACATGATTAGTGATAGGCTGTTATATAAAAAATAGACGAGCACGAATTAGAAAAGAAGCATCGAAACCAAAACGAGAAAATCCGAACTGTATCAGAATAAATAGACCACGCGTTATTCAAGCGATCGACATAATAAAGATACACTTGTTACACTGGAATTCTCATTATCACCGTTACTTTGTACGTAAGTAATTACGCATAATAATATGGTATGAATGGAATTATTTACTAATCATATTTTACAATGGCTAAGAGATCGAATAAATTTCGCCCGCAGTCGTTCGTATCGTTTCGAATCTCTACCATTGGCGATGCCCAGCGTACGCGCTCCTCTCGGCATTCAAGCGGTATGCGAAAAAATTCATATGATTTATTTCACGAAATATAAATAGGGAGAAACAGTTCCCATTCTCACTGAAAATATTTTTTTTTTCTCAACCGCAACACGCGGTATAATTAGCGCGTCATTCTTCCTGCGGATTCTATTTCTTAAAAGCATTTATTGCATAGGAAGTTGAAAAAAACCGTGCGTACGCACTGGCAGTACTTAAACACAGGTTTTGTCTTCCGATACGAATCCCGGTACCGTTATTTACGTCGTTCTGCTAAAAAGTATTGAAATTCTTGTGTTTATCGTACCTCACACGCAATGTCTCACACGCACCCACCCAGCAAAGGGCACGGAAGCAACAAAATTAGGAAACTTTGATGACAATTTTAGTAGAATCGCTGATCTATTCAGTTTGATCTCAGTGTATGATGAAGATTTTAATAGAAATCATACTGCAATGAATCTTGAATAATTTGATTATTTCTAATAACTTATGAAGTACATAGAAAATGAATTTTTAACACAAGAACGTTTCAATAGGGAACATTGTTAAGTACAATATGAAACATTTAATTATTATTTGGAAAATGCGAATGATATAACATATACCGTTGGATCTACGATGATGTGTTTGACCAGAGGTTTAGTGGGATGGTCGTGGATTTGAAATATAGAGCCTGGAGTAAGTACAAAACCGCCGAGAAATAGCAGTATCTTCGAAAAAAAAAATCAGCGAGAACCTAGTCGGAATCAATTCCAAGCATCTAAGCATTATTTACATGTGCCTAAGTACATAGAAATATTCGTACATACTTTTGATGCTTTAAATGAAGGAATGAGATAAATTACCTCGGGATCGACGAGCTGTCGCTGCATCTACGAAATTGCGATGCGAAGAAAATGAAATAATGTATAAAAGGGGAATGAAAGGTGCAAAAAACCCGCTCGAAGTTATTCACTTATTCAGTGTCGGTTTTTTCAAGCGTGTTCCGCAAAAAGCTAAATTGTATTAGAAGCTAATGTAGTACAAAGCACGCGGTAGAGTCGTTCCGGTGAGACGTGTTTCCTTAAAAGCGCAAGCAAGTCTTTTGATGCGATGAAAAATGATTTTTGGAAATTGTTTCGTTCGAAATCTGTTTGAGGATTTTTTTATTTCCTTTAGCGAGCTTTCGATCTGAATAAAAAAATATCAAAGTTGCCGACTCATATAGTAATATATCTAAAAATGCTGACTGGTTTTTGAACAACTCGCTTGGATAATTAGTTATTTCGCATACGAAATCAGTCCACACCACGCTGATTTATTTACTTTAATACTAATCTTAATAATAATAAAGTATAACGTGGTCACTTCCTTCTCGCATAACTGTTTCGTGAATATTAAAGAGGTTTGCACCTAATTCACCGATATTAATCGATATAATACCCGTATGGATATCTTCGTAAATGCCGGAAAATATCCTTGAGTTTACTGTTCGTTGATATAGATCAGTAGGATAATTTCTGTGTGGATTAAATTATATATGGTGATTATAAGATTGTTTATCTTTAATAGCTTATGGTGCGTTTCACTTACGAAATGGTAATGTACGATATTTTCCGAATAAATCAAAACGGAATCAATGATCTTCAAAAATGAGTAATCGCTCTATTAAAAGAGAAAACTCATTGGTCAAATAATGGGAATTATTAGAATAAGATGCCTATTTTCTTCAGCTGACACATATACGAAACGTTTACAGTAAATCATCCGAGTTGTTAACATGCGAATATTTCTTAAGGCTCTTATTTAAAACAGGTATTCCCTATGTAAACATGCGTTGTTTATTTTTACAATTTACAATTATCACGAACAAGTTGTTCCTGATCCCTGAAAACGGCTCACTATCGCCTAGAACAAACAACAATTTTCTAAGGAGATAATAGGCCATTGTCGGTATATGTATACCCAACAAATCCTACCTATGCATGTCTTTCGTTGGTATGTATTCCTTTCGTTTGCTTCACATTAATGAAAAAGGAACTTACCAATTTGTGTAATTTAAAGCCCTGAAACAAAAAAAAGACATTATTAATAATATATCAAGTTAATATTATTTAAAAATTAGTAGTGATCCATTTATTTTGCATTAGAGTATTTTAGAAATAAACGAATATTGTCGTGCTAAGGAGTGCATATCTTTATATATTTTTTTAATAAAAACGTTATTAAATCAAAATTTGGTATCAGATATTTGAATTGCAAATTCTGTAATCTACAGTAGCGTGTTGATCAATTAGAAAACGGACCACCTAGGTAAATGAATACCTGTTACACAGGAATTTCACTCCTTTCGCAAATTATAGAAATTTCCGAGGAAATTTCTAACCTATTATGAAAAATGTTGGCACAGTAGTTATTAAATTACTCATTAATAACCAAGCAATCGAATTTCTTATTATATTTGCAAGAATATTTATAGAAAAGTTTGTAACCTACAGCATTTGGTATTCGCATTGTTGAGTAAAACTGTATCCAAATTCTGAGCTGAAATTTTCTATTAAAGAACCCGTTTTGATACCAGCAATCATTGACAAAATCCACTATGCCAGGCGTTCGGCACAATGCGAAATTCGCTCGAAGCTCTGAAAAATACGCGTTCCATTACAACTACCTAATACCATTTCTATCAAGATTCCCCATCAGCATTCAACTGTCTGACCAAACAATAACTGTTCCTTCCTTGACACAATTTTATATTTCGATTATGTAATAGGTAATTTCCTGGTACACGTACACGATTTCCCGACGAGAATATGCATTAGCCATTCGTTTCGAACCGTTTACAATTATCTGAACCTTCAATTAAAAGAGACACTGATTCGAGGTAAGTAACGTTAAAGTAAAGCCGATAACGTCTCCACGTTTTCAAATGGGACTAGTTCTTGTTGCGACGCTTTCTGATATAGTGTAGTTGATACACATTCAAAAACTGCACGCTTATTTTATTGTATTTGATAACGTAATTAATTGTATATGGGTAGTTTGTTTGAAGATAACAGATTTTTTTGTAAATTTACTTTAAATTACCGTTACGTCAAGTTGTATGTCAAAAATTTGTTCATTCCCCGGGTAAGTTAGCAAAACTCTAATATTAAAACTTACAAATAAGTACAATATTTTGTATTCGGTAAAAATTTCTATCATCGTGGAAAACATTAACCCACATTACGTCCCCATAATTCCACAATAGAAGCAATTCCAAGCAACTTACTTACAACCTTCTAGTTACCGTTCGCCATAGTTGGCAACGAATTAGGGAGTAATTGGCTTAAACTCTCAAAGAATGTACCGAACGTTTTGTGATGTGTAGTTGGTATAAATCTGAGTTGTAACGGTCAGGAACAACACATCGCTGGACATGGCTTATGAATGTATAAGAAATTTTCCTCAATTATTTCTGTGTGCTGGCCACTCAGAGCAAACGGTTGTCTAATGCTCAATTTAGTTGGGAAAAGATTAATGGCTCCGTTGAGTAAAAACGGTTTAAAGCTAGAAAAATCGAAATTGTATTTTCCTAAAAAAACAACCTCTTTTGCTTTAATGCTCCTTCTCGATTAAACAATGAATTTTTTTATACACAATTAGCGCACTAAAAATTCTTTAACCGTTTGTTTATTTAACACATATTCATTTTATTGTAATAGAAACCCAGACTTAGAATAAATCTTAATAGTTCTCAGCCACCCACTGCGTCTACAACAATGCAAATTTTTTGAAGGACTCTCCAACTGAACAGCGAGTAAGAATCGATCTACTTTTGTTATCTGAGAACATCAGCAAACAACACCTTCTTTATTCTTTGTTTTACGTTTTTTTTCGTCTACAATCTTAATCATGCGTGTTTGTTCATTTTATCTAATGTGCCATCGTCTTCGCCAAATAAAAGCACTCTTTACATTTTTTGAGCCCGTGTAGGTGAGAACCGTTAGCAATGAAGATAGCCGAAAGTGACGATACCGAGCTGCAGGATTGGACTGATGTTAATTATTCTTTTGTTGAATTGGACTATTTCTTTATTGATATATTTACCAAATGGATTAGAATTGTTTGCTAGGAGTGTTTGGTCAAATATTAGTTTGGAATGATTTTAGTGCTTTGCAAAATTCCAAGAATATTTTACACTAACGCTAATTAATTTTTCAAGTAATGTAGCAACTGACAACGAGAATAAACCCAGATATATTAGATGAACTAAAAGACATAAAAATGAACATAAATAAATAATAAGTTTAGGGATCAGATGCTGAAATAGATGGTAAAATTGGTTATACAAATAGACAAATTCAACTTGTTTTTTTTAATTTATTGAGCATCACAATATTTGTGAAAGGTTAAAATAGTCCAAGTCAACAATGACATTTTTTCATTGAACATAAGTCCGGTGCTGCAAACTTGGGTAATTTGCATTAATTTTATCGTATTCTTTATTCCTTCGAGTATACTGACCTATAATGTATCTGACCTAGAATCAACTTCCCTGGCTGCGTTTGTCGCGTAAATACAACCGTTAAGAAATTAAAAAGGGTCCGTGCCAAAAAACCAGTTTTCCTCGCAAGGATTCCATTCCACACAGCTGATTCATTTTTGCGCGAATTTTCGTAGGCGACGAAAGCCGATCTGGCTTTGCGGTCATTTATAATAATTTCGATTAATGGTCATGGAAATGTACTGTTAGGATTTTTTTCGTATAACAAATTGCGTTCGAGTTGATCCGAATTTAAATTCAATAAATTATGCCCTGTTAGATAATATTAAGAGGCTTTAATTTATGGCTTTGTTAGCTGATAAAAAAATTGCTGCAAGGTGGTTATGTTCATTGGTTCCATGTTTTTTTATGGTTGTATAATTTTACAGATGTAATCTAACGTTAGATTTCATCGATTTTCGTGGAGGTTAAAAAACTTTTGATATATGATAATAACACAAGAAACTTGCTTAAATTAATTGCAAAATATTTATTAAAAATACTATTATTTAAATAACTTGGTAACAACTTTAAATAAGTATACATTGTTCCAGCTTTAAAAAAATCATTGTCAACGGGATTTGTCCAACATTTGCCGGGAGAAGAAGTTGATGTGTGCGCATAGGCGCTAAGAAAGAACTACTAATAACGATTATTATAACACTATCAAAAACAAATAACTACTTCGCATCCGCGAATTCCGATGGAAATCTAACTTAAGGCTAAAGTTTAGTCTTGATAGCATCTATAAAATCACACGTTATTCTCTTCTAGGTGAGGGCCAGGTGCGTTTCTGGCCTAAGGTTACGAGTGTTTCCACTATTTTGCATGTCCATTCGCTGATGGATTAATAAATATACGCTCGCAAAAAACTCTTGTGGTCATGTAGATGCAGTAATGAAAATTTTATTAGCGATACAAATGTCAATTCAAAATCTAAAACGAGAGTTTTTGCAACGAACCGTTTAATAAGTTATGATTAAAAAATCAAAACTAATTTATAGTATGCTACAGTATTATGTTCACCGAACCGGTATCATCTACAGTTTATCCTGCGTGATTTTTCTATTCGAAAAATTTTCACGTTGTTATTTTCCGAGTAGGTAATTTATTTTTTGCTGTTTTAATAATAGCGTACCGGCGGATTTAAGTACAAGCGTTACCAACGCATTTATTTCTCATTAACGCCGAACGTTGATAATCTAGTTTAAAAATCGAAACGTATCGGTTAGTGGAACATTCTTCACTGATACCGTAACATTCTGAACAATTAATTTTAACACTCGCATTCCCATCACACGTAGAAACGCCGATCGATCGGCTTTCAGAAACGGCTTAAGTATGACAAATGTAAATCGTTAAACATATTTTTTTCAGCGAAAATCTTCGTTAATTTCTGAAAACACTTAAGCTGACTCAAATTGTTGCTTTCCAAGTGTTATTATTCACTAATAGAAATACGCCATATTCGAGCTACTTTAGCTCTTTTTATTCAATGCATTTTAAAATTCAATTAAACGTCTCTCTTGGCAATTTTAAGCTTTCGAATGAGAAGTATAGTAGATAATGGGCTATTGAATAAGAAAATAAGAAGCTACTGGAATTGAGAGCCGACTCTGTTGCTGCGTTTGCATATGATCTGGTTTTCCGCTTCATCTCTTATTGAATAATTAAAATAATTTGCGCCAGATAATGTTTGCACTAGTATCGATTTCTAGCGATTTTGCATTCTGCTCTAACTTTGTAGGTTAATGCGTTTTGAATATTGTTGTTTAACGTGCAATGAATTACAATGAATTTCATGAATAATTGATTTATTTATCGTAAATAGCGCTCGTTATTTCTAATTAGAGTACATACCTACCGACCAGAAATACTAAATCATAGGATAATTGCCGTTTTAAGGTTTATGTAATGATGTGGTATCAACAAAAAGTATTTTAAAATGCGAAACAAACAACATAAGATAAGGTGAAGAAGCATGTGCAAAAATCAGTTTTAAAGCTATAGCAAAAATTGCTGCAGTTTCTTCATAGGTTCCTGCAACAGCTTCGCTCGAACGAAACGTGTGTGGTCAACTATCTATCAAAGAGATAGCATTATCTAAGTGTTTTCTATGATAGTTAAACACGCACCAAGGCCGAGTTGATGTTTTTAAAGCGTTCGAAAATGCGATCTTAAGTGGTGATCTGTTCTCATAATATACCACTAAAACGAGCAGGAACGTCGGTAATTAGTTGTACATCATTCGGGATTTAAGCATTATGGATTTCGAATGGAGATAGTGCATGGCCGCCGTAGAGCCCAGCTAAATTAAATGTCGGGCTAGTTTAAATAATGGATATTTAATTGTTAAGTAGCTCTCATGGAACAAGTTCTATTTTTAGAGTAAAATAATTTTAATACGAAAATAGTAAGTATCTACTATTGCAGTTTTCTCGAACTGTTTTCACTTATTTATCTCCTTGCAATTTTTCTTAAAGCGTAATTTTTGTTCCATTTATAATCTTATTTAACTCTTTTAGAAAACTTTCATTACTCTATAGAAATAAATATTATTAAGCCGGGATTTCTTGTTGGTTATTTTCAATGTAGCATTTTGAGATTAATTACAATCATTTCGTCTTCGCTACCAACAATATTACTGTAATTTAATTCCCATCATCAATTTCTCCAATGCAAATATAAATTTAAAAGACGGTATCGAAGGATCTAACATGATTTTTCTTACTACTTTATGCAGATTTCCACTTTTTACCGTCAATAAAAATGAAACTCTCGGTCAGTGGAACGTCTAAAGGAACATGTTATACCCTACATTCTATAATGCAGCAGATTCAATTATGTTTATTATTAAATACAAAAAGTATTGTTACAAATTTTATTATCACCATATTACATTATTTACCCGAAAACGTTTAAAATTGTTGCGATAGCTGATCATAAAATTCCAAACAGTTAATAAAGAAAAGGAAGCGTTTGTTTGTAATAATCCCCGATTTCTCAGAAAAGTTATTATTACAGAACAATCGTAACAGTACCTTTATTAATATTATATATGAACATTTCTGTCACAAAATAATGGTATTATCGTTGGCAGCAAGTGAAGTGTTCATGACCTATGTACCGTTTTACAGACTTCCACAATCAAGTACAATTGAACATACG